GCCATCCAGCAGAGAAGCAACAAGCCCACATGGAAGAAGCACACCATCCAGTCCGATCATGAGGTGTCATTGGGACCGGGTAACAGGCATCAGAACACCCATAACAAACAAACAAAAACATATTGTTGAGAACGAGGGGGGTCAGAGCAGAGACCCAAAGCCTATCTGTCGACAAATGGGACATCTCGCCACAGAGGGGTCACAGGGAAGGGACGAGTCAACCAGGGAGCATTAAAGCACTGATGAAACACACAATACTCTGATTCTTTGAGGCTTCTTCACCCCCCACTATCATGACCCCAGTGCTGCTTCTCACTTCGGACTAGACCAGAGCATGGTATCCAGGAACAGGAATGGGAATAGTGATACCGGAAAGGTAGGGAAAGGTAGGGAAAGGTAGGGAGAAGAGGGAGAAGAAGGGGGAACCGATCGCAAGGATCAACACATAACCACACACCGCCTCCAGAGGAAAGAACAACAGAAACCATGGGGGAAGGAAGACAGCGGTCAGTAGAGATATGAAAATAATAATAATTTATAATTTATCAAGGGGACATGAGGCTGAGAGGGAGGGGGGAGAGGAGCTTGGGCTCCTTGGGCTCAAGTAGAAGAAAATGTTTTGGAAATGATGACGGCAACATATGTACAAATGTGCTTGATACAATTGATGCATGGATTGTAATAAGAGCTGTAAAAGCCCCCAATAAAAGGATTTATTAAAATTTTAAAAAACAACAATTAAAAAAACCTGGTTGGGTTTAAAACCAGTTGTAACAAGCTCATCATCAACTTTGATTAGGCAAATTAATCTTTTCTGGGACTTTCATTAAAACAAAATTGATTTATAAGTACCTCCAAGGAACCGATTACAAGGAACTATATGTGACCTCCTCCCTGGGGGACAGACAACCGAAAAGTGGGTGAAGGGAGACGTTGGACAGGGCAAGATATGACAAAATACCAATTTAAAAACTACCAAGGGCTCATGAGGGAGGGGGGAGCGGGGAGGGAGGGGAAAAATGAGGACCTAATGTCGGGGGTTTAAGTGGAGAGAAAATGTTTTGAGAATGATGTACAAATGCGCTTTACACAATTGATGTGTATATGGATTGCGATAACAGTTGTATGAGCCCCTAATAAAATGTTTAAAAAATAAATAAATAAAATAAACATGTTGACCCCCATGGGGGAAAAAAAAAGTACCTCCAAGATGTAATATTTCATGCAACATATAAGTTTGATAAATGTTAATCATTCTTCCCTATATAGAAAACATTATGATTAGATGGAAGTTGAAGGAGGACATTCCTTATATTACCTTCATTAATATTTGCACATTATAATGTAACTATAAGATGCAATGGTAAAAGGTTAAACGCGCAGTTGCTGCCCAAAATCTTGGTTCAAACCCACCCAACTGAGCTTTAGCTTCTAAACTACAGAGGCTTTAATGAAGCAGTTTTAATGATTACTTCCAATGTGAGGCTAAAACTCAAAATATATTATGGTCTTAGTAGCTTATCTACTAAAAATAGTTATTTCTAGAACCAATCTTAAATAAAATGATCCACATATTTTAAATGTCTAAAAATCTGTCATGATTTATAATTTTAAAATAAGCAACTACATAAGAAATATCACTTATCATAAAAATTTCACATTAGTGTGAAAAAGTCCAGCTAGTTCTTTCATTTTTTTTAATGACTATTACCTTGAGCTAGTAACTCTTCACCAAGCTGAATCTCTTCAAGGAAGAATTTCTGAACAGCTTCAGCATCTTTAAGATCTGGTAACTGTTTGGAAATAGGTTATTTTGTAATCAGAAATACAATGTTTGGAACTGATACCAAAATTATGTCAAGGAAAAGAACCAATACACAGAAAATCATGACCCACCCAAATCATATATCTCATTCTGAAACACTGATAAAATAATTTTACCAATCATTTTGGAAGGCCTAAAATTTAGTGTCTACATTCAAATGAATGCAAGTGTGGAGGGGAGACGTTTTTATCAATCATTTGATGACTGTGACTATGCCAGTTATATGGCTTGCCTTTTGACAAATCTAATAAAGAGTTTACTTTTATTTAAAACATTAGCTTGTTATTCATGTAAATTTTTCTTCCCTGAACTACAGGATCTAAGTAAAAAAATCTTTTCCAGAAATGGAAGCATCTTTCAATGGCCATCCAGTATACAGCAAGAATTTGCTTATGTTCTTAAATCTAAAAATGCTCTAATGTCTTTTAAGAATGGGTTACTGAAAACATAATGAACACGTTAGATTTCAGAAAGGTAGTATTAGGACAAATTGTTTCATTCCTTTTTCTATTTCAGTATTACCACTTCAAGATAACCAATATTTATTGATTTAATATTTTTGCCCAATTTCCTCCTAAAAGAACCGCTACTTGTATATCATTTGACACTATTTGTGTAAAGCCAGAACAAAAATAATGTGTACAGATGTATTTGTGTGTTTACATGTAGCAGATTTCTGGAGCAACACTGAATCATGAGATTGTATCACCTATTCAGAATATCAATAAACTAAGCAAAACTACCTACCACTCACTGATCCAGTAGCTTGGAATCCAGACAACAGAAATAATTTTTAAAAAGGGGAAAGCTGTATGTACAACAATATTTACTTATACATGCCACAAAACATTATTTATGAAGTAGATAAACCCTATGTAGTCATTAAAAATAATAATGACCACATGATCTATGAAAACATTTATATCTGTATTTACATACTATCCACCCCACTACCATTGTGTCAATTCTGATTCATGGTGACCCTACATAGGTTTCCAAGGCGATAAAGTTTTGAGACCACAAAGCCTCATCTTTTCCCAAGGAAGCAGCTGATGGGTTCAAAGTGTTGACCGCGTTTTTAGCAGCCCAGTGCATAACCACCACACACCACCAGGACAAGTTTATATATTACATTCCACAAGATAAAAATGTCAGGGCAGAAGGATTCTGGTTTACTGGTTATGAATAATGTACTATGACTGAAAATTAATAGCTAATAGTGCTGTGAAAGTTGACAAAAAGAATAATTAATATAATTATTAATTATTAATAATTAATATCCTGTCTTGTTACTTTAAAGCAGTTGAGCGACAATGTCTGAACCTTTCTGTGCAAGTCTTTTAGAGATTGTGATAGTTAGGCTTTAAGACGATAGGGTGGAGTTTAGCCTGTCAATCAGGTTGCTGCTTGATGAACTCATTTGAAGGCACTACCAAGATAAATGACTCTCTGAGGTGCCCCCCGCCCCCTCTTTGTTTCACCTTCCTGCTGGCGAACCACTCTAGATCTGTGCCAGCCTTGTGATGCTTCCACTGCCATTTGATTCACAAGACTTTTTGCCCACTGGCTTATGGTCTTCCTGCTTTTTGCATCAAATATTGTGGCTGCATAAGTCTGCCAAAGGATTTATGGACTAGTATGGGACTTATGGATTTGATCTGGACTGGGCTGGGATGTTTTTCTGATATACAATAACTTCTTGATATAAAGCTCTTTCTTACATGAGTGCCAATGAATTTGTTTCTCACCATCATCTAACTGTTTCTCAAAAACTGCTTGTATACACTGTACAACAAGCTGTCTAGTGTAGCCAACAAAGGGGAATTAATCAAGGATCAGACTCTTAAACTCAGATTATTATTCCTAAAGATTACACTTAAAAATAGATTATTTTATCAACTAGCTTTCTCAAAAAGGCACGTTAAAAGCATACTTTAAATCGTTCTACAAAAAAATTATTTTAAGACTATTACCTTGGAAAGGCCAGCTCTCTCCTTGGCAAGCTTCTGTTTCTTTCGTCCTGTAAGAAGTACACTGTATTTTAATCTTACCATTTTCAAAATGGGAATTAGAAACGAGGAAAGCCTAAATGCTATAGTGGTCATCCCTTCTATCTGCAAATATCTGACTTGCAATCTCTGGTGCCCTAGCGATTTGTCAGGACCCCCAACCTAGGACAATGTGACATTCCTGGGCCAGAGGCTTTCTCCTTTCCCCTGGCACACCAAGATCAGCAAATTAGTGGATGGAGGCAGCTTGGACACCTTTGTCTCTGAGTAATTACGATAAGATCAAGCATCAGATTTCTAGCCTTTATGTCAATAAACCTAATCAGCAATTAAGGCTACTGCTGTTGTTTTTTATTCCTAAAACAAAAGGTTCTCCCATTACTTAATGTTGAAAACTATCTGATGTTCTTCAATGAAAAACCAGAATGAGAATGCTTTCGCAAAATAAAGTGTTTATGGATTTGTGTAAGGGGGGAGTGCAGGTGATGGTTCTCAGAAACACACTTGCAAAACCCACAGCCACAGGGTAGATTACAAGACTATAAATCTTTATGGAGCAGAGAACCTCATATTTCTCCCTTGGATTTAACAACCCATGGTATACCTAGCACCACCAGAATTGCTTATCAGTCTTCAATTCAAACCACCAGATAACAGAAAACTTAACAGGCTCTGAATTCTTATCTAATTGTACACTCCATAGGAAAGGTGTTTACAGTATAAGGGCTATCCCAGCTCTTCAATTTCCAGCAGTGTGACCTTAGACAAGTTACAGTAACCTGTTTGTGAAATTCTTCTATGCAAAACTGGTCTTAAAATAATACTGAGAAAAAAAATACTAAAATGTCTGCTTAGGGTGATGACAAAATTTTGAAAACGATATGGTTGCACAACATTGTGAATGTAATTAACGCCAATAAATCTTATGTACATTTAAAACATTGAATGGATTTTGAGCTCACACTTAATCATACGTCTAATCTAAGAAAAAGTAGTTCTTTTGATGTGGACCTATTTGATTCTTGTCCTCATGAAGAGATCACTGACGCTATGAGGACTATAGCAAAATGTGGTGAAGACACCACATGGTACCTGTCTATCATAAAGAACAGCTTCTGACATCTTAAAACAAGCTGCTATCTAGGTGAAGGGTCAGTTAAGTCCACACAGAAGCAGCACACCAGTCTGTGTGATCCAAGGATTATAAATAATAAAATCCAATACAGGAGCAGGGAACTGTATTAGCGCTTAAATTCTGAGCACTTGGTTTGCAGAACGCTATGGATAACAATGAAAGTCCAAAATCCATTTACAAGGTCCCCCTCCAACTGGATTAAGCCTGAGAAGAATCCCCTTTAACCATTAATCAAGAATGTGAGGGGACTGAATTTATGCAGATATAATTGGGTTAAAATGTAACACCTTATCATTTGCTTTCCCTTTTGACCCATCTAAAATTTGTTCTAGTTTTTATTGTAATCTGCTTTCTTTACAAATGACTTCTTTGTCTTGTTTTGTTACTATGTTGGGATGTTTTTGCCTTTTTTGCTTTTCTTTTTGTAACAGAATAGGTTAATCATAGAAATAGTACATAGACCCCTAATAAAATGATTTTTTTTTTTAAATAACTAAATCAATAGTTTCTTAGGGGAGGTTGGGTGAAAAGGGAGCCAATAAAAAGTACAAGAATGAAGAAAATATTCTATATGAATTACATGTCAATAAAATTTTTTTTAAAAGATTAAAATAGCAAATGCTGTATCTTAACAAATAAAAAAGTTAACTAAATATAATACCTACACTTCACAGTACTGTTGAGAACTGTATAAATTGAGTTAATATAAAGTATTTTGATATGAGCTTTTGTTTTCCTGCCTTTAGCTTGCTTGTTTGTTTTTTGTGTTTGCTGGTTGGTTTGTTACTTGTTGGTGTAGTTGATCCTATGGGATACTGATTGTCATAATAAGACCACTAAAGTACAATTGAGTCATGCATACCCCATGGACAATCCCATGGATTCTGGGCTCCACTTAATTCTAGCCCCAATCCAAGAATACTTAGTTCTGATAACATGGCCCTGCTCGATGTTCATCTTCATGAAATGATCACTAAAGGGTGCTAAAGCAAAGTGTGGTGAAGAAAGTAGATGGTGCCCAGCTCTCAATCAGAATAGTGCCTGAGGTCTTAAATGCTTGTAGTCAAACAAGCAGCCATCTAAGTGAGGAGTCAAGTAAGTCCACATGGAAAAAGCACACCAGCTTGTGTGATCCAAAGATGACAATAACAAAACTCAAATATGAAAAAGTATGAAGTATCTGTGCTTAAATTGCAAACACCTAGTTTGTAGAAGGTTATGGAAGGCAGTGGGAGTCCAAAACCCAAATAATCCAGTCAGATTAAGCCATTAGCAGATCATCTCTAGCCACAGGTAAGGTTTTGGAACAGTTTTATTATTAGATACAGATCTTGATTATATTCAATCAAAGTTGATATTTGCTCAGTTAACCTCCCTCATGACTTAACCTGAAATTGTTCTTGTGCAAGTATTTCGTCCTTGTCGATGACAAAAATTTTTTATCTGGCTTTTAAAATATTGATGGTAGTCTTTTCATTCTTACTCATTATTTGTATTTTTATGTTTATATTACTATTTTTTCTTTACCACTTTTTGGGGTTCTTTTAACAATTCTTTCTGTTGAATTTTTCAGCTCATGAAGCACCAGGGTAGATTTATATACAGATAATAACTGATGCAAGGGTTTATCAGAGATTTGAGGTGAGAAGTGGGACACAAAGGGTGAGGGGATTTTAAGAGCAAACAATGTATAAGGGAAGATGGAGGGGACACTAACTAGAACTGTGATTATGCAACTCACTTTTTTTTAAACGCAACTCATTTTAAAAGCGATTTAATCATGGGGAAAAAAGGAAACGTCCTAAAATTGTGGTAATGATTGTACAATTCTTGATATGACTGAACTATTGACTTATATGATATGTGGATTATGTGTCAATAATACTTTTAAAAGATTAATACAATAAAAAAAGACTAAGATAAATGTATTACTGAGATAACTTGTCTGTAATCATTCACTGAAAGCAGACATGTGGGGGGGGGGAGGTCAGATCCTTGCTGCCAGACTGCTGTCTCATCTCACCACAGGGGTAGGCCTGCTCCCTGCTGCTGGGGACAATGGACAGGCTCCTGTAGGAGTTTTCACCCTACTGATAATGGTTCCTATGGAGACCCAGAGACCACCCCCTCATTGCTGTGTAACCTATAGTGCAACTCCTCCCTGTGACATATGACTCTACCTGTAATTAGTGGGCTGGCATACCCCCAAAAGGTGTATAGGCGTGAGTCAGCAAGATAGAGCTCTGACTTCTCAGACCTCTCTGACTCTCTCTGGCTCCCCTCTCTTCCCCCTCCCTTGTTCCCTTGCCCTCCTTCCCTTCCCCCTCTCTCTACGTGGACCACCAAGCTGGGCTGAGGGAGCAATGCTACCATGTAATGTGTCTGACTGTATTATTGTAATCTCTCTCATGCTCTCGATGAGTTTAATATAATACTTATGTATCTCAACAGTACAATTGTACTTACTGAACTCGTAGAGAGTATTAGCGGTGGGGGCTGGCCCCCACCTTCCCCATGCCATTTTTAATTTAATTCTACAGACATGTTGAAACACATTTTTTTTAATACACCCACGTGAATCAGAAAAGTCTTTTTAAAGTGTCACTTTATTACTGAGGTACACCTGTCCCAATGGTCTTTTCAATAATCAACATACATTTGAAAGCTGGACAAAGCAAAAGGACGGTAGGAAAAAAAAATTAAGTATTTTCAATTAAGAAGTTGTGCTATGCTAAATACCTAACGTAAATGAACCTGGAGAACACTATGAATAAAATAAGTCAAAAGAAAGGTTTACACATGACACTAAACCGGGTGAAGTGAAAGGTAATACACTATAAAGGAAAGGTGTCACTTAAAAAAAAGGAAAGACAGATGTACACAGAGTTACAGATAATACTATTAACATACACAATCCTGCCTTATCTGTAAAAATATGCATTAATCTAGGTAGACAGGAAAGATGAACAGGTGTAGGTTAAAGGGACTACACTAACAACCACACAACCATTTGTATGCACTGTAAACATGTCCATGTATAGAGAAGCAACGATAGATACGGAAGCTTGTCATAACCAAACACCTTAAGGGAATCAGTCACTGGACCTAGGGATTTGGGATCATAATCAAAGGGGACAGCAAGTCCACAAAAACCAAAGTTCTACATCTTAACATCGCAGAGTAGCAAATAGGGTCTTAAAGGCTTGCAAGAAACCATTTAAGGTGCAAATACCAGTCTTTCTGTCAGAAGAAGCATAAAAAAATTAAAGGCATGGAAACAATTAGTCAAAAGGACTAATAGACCACAGGAACCCAGTCTCCAGACAAAATGAAGGCAGGCTATCCCTACTAACCATTCTTAAAGAGGGCCCTAGGCAGACTCCTGGGATAAGAATGTGAAACAAAATTCAAACTAATAAAAGGCCAGACCTACTAGTATGACAGTGGTGGGGAACCCCTGACACTATACCTCTTAAGTCAATCTTCAGGCCTGGAACTGAACAACTCACTTGGCTCAATTATCAGCCAAAGTGATTAACACCAGGGAGGTACACCCTCCTTAGGGTTTTAGGAGATCAGAAGCGCAGCATTTGGTCTAGATCCAAGCTTAGAAAACAAAACTGAATACGAAAGGGGGATTAATGAAAACAGGAAACAAGAGAGCTGTTATACTGTGTGTACTGCAATCAATGCCACAAAACATGTTTAAATGGTGGAAAAATCAATCCACTCTTGCAAATGTTCACTCAAATTAAACTAAAAAAATTTCTAACAAGGAAAAAAAACCCAGCACATCTAAAGCACCGCAAATTTGTAAAATAAAATCTCAGCATTCAATTGAGTAAGCCAGAATTTAAGGAAAATGGCAAGAGTCATCATAAATCGCAAGAGGTTTGTGTTTTGTTTTTAATGAGGCAAGTGTGTAGTTGAACACATGACCGACTAAGACAGCACTGAAACTTTATCCCTTAGGTACTTCTTACATTCCCAGAAAAAACTTAAATTTTTGTTTTACTTTCTTAGGCAATTAACTTGTTACATTACTATTTTCAGATATAACTTATTCTTTATATGTAAAATACCATATCTGAAAATAGTGTACTCAACAATTACACGCTTCCTCCATTGAAGTACTTGCTAATGGAGATGGGGGATTGAAGCATTCAATATAAATTACAACTTAATGAGAGATGACTGACTGTTCCTTGGCAAAGGACATTATGCTTGGTAAAACAGACAGAAAAAAGCAAGAAGACCATCAATAAGATAGATTGACTGAGTGGCTGCAATGATGGACTTGAACATGAGAACAACTGCACAGTTGGTACAGGACCAGGCATCTGTTTCATTCTGCTGTATTGTAGGCAGTGTTTCACGCTGTAGGGTTGCTATGAGTCAGAACTATCTTGAAGACAACTACCAACAACAAAAATAAGCTCTGTGAAAAGGAACAGATGGTTACAGTCTGAAAAACAAGCAAAAGAGTTATAGATGCAATCAGTAAAATCAGGCCTATTTTTAATATTTGCTAAATATCAGTCACAAGGGTGTGAATAGGCATACCTACTGTAAACACACATAATTTTAAAAAATTTAAAGATATTTCTTCTAAGCAAGGCGCTTAATGTTTTTAAGTTATTTAACACCTTATAGGATACTTTTAATAAAGTACTTGTAAGTGCCACTCTAAGTTAGAGGTTAAATTTCATTTCATTTAATGAATTAACTAAATTTCATTTAAAAATTTTTAAATATGCTTTTTTGAGATGTTCCTAAAGTAATCGTCTAAGGAGTTCCAGTGGCACAGTGTTTAAGCACTCAGCCGCAAGACAAAAAAGGTTGGTGGTTTAAATCCACCATCAGCTTCCAAAAAGATTTACAGCCTTAGAAACTTTAGGCAGCATTGTGCCATTCTGTAGGGTTACCACGAGAAAGAATTGGCTTGACAATGGGCTTAGGAATTTCTTCTTCAAAGTGGCTATATGTTCTTGCTAATGAATATACATTTATAAATTTAAAATCTCATGTCAATCCTAAACCTTATTTTTCTTTACAAAATATATCAGGAAAGTTAACAAACTGACTGATTTGAAAAACTGCCCTTGAAGTAAGGAACAAAGGTGGAGAAGTAGTTACTCACTGTGCTAACCACAAAGTCAGGGTTCTCAACTACCAACACAAATTCATTGCTCTGGAGTCAATGCTGACTCAAAGGGACCCCAAAGTGGGTTTCTGATATTGTAATTTTTAACAGGAGTAGAAATCCCAGTTTTCCTCTTATGGAGCTGCTGCTAGTGGTTTCAAACTGCCGACCATGCAGATAACAGGCCAATGTGTAATTACTCACTCCGTAATCAGGGCTCCCTATTCTTTAAAAGAACAAAACTAAAGCTTAAAGAGGTACAATCATTTGCCTACTCAGCTTGAAAGTTAACTGTTAGCACTTAAATACTTATATTCTGGTTACATTTAAAGCTTAGGAAAGAACTATGTATTAAAAACAATTATGAAAATAACATTTCTCAATTATTCAAAAATGTTAATAAACCTTTTATGATTTCTTCAACTAAATAATCTTTCTCGGGATTTTAAATAGTAATTGTTTCCAAAGGTTAACCATACCTTTAGAGAGCTATACATACAGCCCCAGCCAAACTAAAGGGGCGTGGGGGGGAGCTGATCTAAATTTCAGTCACTCACTGCCACGAGGCAATCACAACTCATTGTGACCCTATTGGTCAGGGTAGAACTAACTGCCCATGTAGGTTTCCAAGACTGTGCCTCGTCTTTCTCCTTCTGAATGTCTGGTGGTTTCAAACTGCTAATCCTGAGGTTAGCAGCCCAACTTGTAACCCACTATGCCAACAGGGGTCCTGGTAAAATTCCAGCATAACTGGCTTATTATACCATTATTATACCATTAACTATGGTGGAGCACTCAAGCATCTTTCTTATATTCACAAAAACCCAAAAGACATAGTTCTACCTACTTTTACAGCTAAGAGAAATAAAATTCAAAAAGCTCAAGAAAATGTTAATCAATGGCCACTATAGGCCTGGAAAAATAGGGTTTGAACTTAAAACAATATTCTTTCCATTATACTAATCCTAAATACAATAGTTTACCTATATCCCCCTTTAAGGAGAGCTGAAGTCACACTGCATAAATCAACGTGGTTCACAAAGGGCTCTACGTGTGCAACTAAGCACTTAAAATGTCTTGTAGCTTAAACAGTAATCAAAAAGGATATTAAACAATCAAAAAGGATAATCTCCGCATTTTCTAGGCTTTAGTAATTTACATGTCAATTTCAACTTCAGAAATTGTTTTTGGCTCAGCAACATGGTTGTCCTACATCACAAAATGCTTATTATAGAAACTAATTTACTCTTCTGTATTGTTGCAAGATGTCTTCGAAATTCAAAGCGGATCTCCAGGATTTAGGTGATACTATTTCGCTCTTGCACATCTAACCTTTCATTTAAAATGTCGCAGGTATGAAATAAGAGTGAGCCACAGGTGAGGCCCAGCCTTTTGGACTCTCCTGCCATTTCTGTAGCATTCATTCATTATCTTGGAAGTACAAAGGAAGCTACCAAGAGGGTTTAAGAATGCTGCAATGATGCTCCACAGGATTTGCAAATTTAGAGTCAGGCTAAAATTCGTACAATACAGAAAGGCAACTTTCTATTTTCTAATACAGTTTTTTTTAAAAAGGGCAACGGCTCGAGACCAAGAGTATATAAATTAATATGCAAGCATGGACTGCGTTTACACAGCCAAAACGTTTAGAGGGTAAAAATTCTTCTCGCAAAATGGAGGAAATCGAAAACAGCACGCACTAGAGCCGGACAATTAGTGGGACTAGCGAAGGGGGCCGGCGCCATCGCCTTCCTGGCCCAACCCGGTGCCGCGAACCGTACTTAGGCGCACGCCGAGGGCACCCGGCCGAGCTTCACCAGGTGGTGATGGGACCCCCTTCACCGGTTAGTGCTGGAGCCAGGAGAGGGTGTGAGGCCTAGGGCGAGGGGACCCACTCACGCTCTCGCAGCCTGTTCTTGAAATTGGGGTCACTCCGTCTCTTGCGGTCGAAGTAAATGCAGTACCCGATGAAAAGGGCCCCGCATACGCCGGCGGCAATGGCGCTGTTCCGCCCCACCATTCTTTCCTTGACTCGGGAGTGTTGCCTGTGGGGGATAGGAGGCCTGAAGGAGCCGTGGAGCGGGGCAACCTTCACTCAAACGAAGGACCCAGCTCAAACCTTGCTCCCGGCGGCTGAAAGACACCGCAAGCCCCCACGCGAGCGTCACTTCCGGTTCCGCCGTCGTCCGAAGCCTTGAAGGACGCCGCAAGACCCCACGCTCACGTCACTTCCGGTTATGCCGCCGTCTAAAGCCTTGTGAGGGACGCCGCAAGACCCCACGTGCGCGTCACTTCCGGATCCGCCGTCGTTTGAAACCTTGTTGAGATCGTCCAGTGCAATGCCTGAGGAGAGGGCGCCGGCTCCTCTTCTGCGCCTGTGCACCACCGAACTACCGGGTCCAGGAGCTGGCGCTTTAGGCACCTCAAGATGCAGCCATCCTTTCTTGTCCGGATTCGGTAATTAATGGCGCACGTTTTTCAAGCCAGCTGAGTTTCCGGAAGGAGGCCTCCTGGTGTAATAGGTTATCCATTGGCCTGCTTAACCTCAAGACCACAGATGGAAAACACCAGCTCCTCCGCGGTGGAAAGACGTGGCTTTCTACTACCGTAGAGTTAATCTCAGAAATTTAGTGGGGCGGGGTCGCTGTGAGTGTCGCGGACTGGATGGCAGTGAGTTTGAGTTTTGAGCTTTCAGAGAGTGCTGTGCGTTGTTTTCCTGATGGAAATTTGCCGTCGATAACGGCTTGATCTTGCTTTTAAAGTAAGGTGACCAGACGTCCCGATTTTTGGAAAGAATGCACGACAAGCTAGGGAACGGTGTATTTGGTCCATATAGGCCAAATTTTTAATCAAGAACCCCCCACACACACACCCCACCCCACCCCCCCCCCCGGTCAATGGTGTCCCGCTTTAAATCTGGTCACTTTATTTTAAGGCCAACCTGTGGTTGCTGTTTACATTAAAGTAAATTTGTTTTCAAGGTAGGTCACAATCCAGGAACACCAACATTCAGCGATGGAATCTAAAATTTCCAAGAAAGTTAAATATAGCCTACTTTTATGAGAACAGGATAAAAAGTCATGCTGATTCAGAGCTACCCTATAGGATAGGGTAGAATTGCCCCTGTGAGTTTCCGAGCCCAGTCTCTTCCCTAAAAGAGGTTGGTGGCCTCAACTGCTGACCTTACAGTTAGGAGACCAAAGCTAACCACTTCACCACCAGTACACCTTGGTACTCAGCCTTCCAGAATTGGTTCTTGCTTTAGTTAGCTATTGCTGCTTAACAAATGATGCCAGATTCAGTGATTTAACACCACAAACACTTCCCTCACAATCTCTCAGGGTCGGGAATTCAGGAGTCTTAATTGGGCAGTCCTGCCTCTGGCCCACTCAGGTGATAACAGTCAGAATGATGGCAGTGGCAGAAATCATATAAAGGCTTGACTGTTTTTCTTAGTTGCTGTCAGTCACTTACCATTCATGGTTACTTTGTGTGCGAAGAACTGGACATAGGGTTTTCAAAGTTATTACAAGGTATTTTGGGGTGTGTATGAACCACCAGCATTTTGGCAGTTAAGCACTTAACCATTTATGCCATCCCAAACTAAAAAGAAATCCACTGCTGTCCAATCTGACTCACAGTGAGCCTATACAGTTTCTGAGACCAAATCTTTACCAAAGTACATTGCCTTCTTATCTTTCTCCTGTGGAATGGCTGGTGGGTTTCAACTGCCAGTTTTGTAGTTAGTAGCCCAGCACTTAACCCACACTACTACTAGGGCTCATTGATGCTACCCAAGACACTCTATAAAGACTTGACTACAATTGTCATTGAGTAAATTCAAATCCATAGGCACCCTATAGAATGAGGCAGAACTGTTGCGTGGGTTTCCCAAAGCTATAAGCCTTACATAAAACATCTTTCTCCCCTGGAGTACCTTATTGGTTTCAACCTCCTGCCTACCTTTAATCCAATATTTAACTCATTACACCACCAGGGTTCCCTTAAGGCTTGATTGTTGTTAAATGCTATGGAGCAACAAGCCTTCCCCAAGGAAAAATATTTTTCAATATTTTGTTGAATTCTATTGGCTAGGATTTTGTTGAGATTTTTTGCATCTATGTCCATAAGGAATATTGGTCTGTAGTTTTCAATTGGTAATGTCAGGGCTATACTTGCTCATTAAATGAGCATTGTAGTGTGTTGTCCTTTTAGGTATTCTGGAATAAGTTGAATAAAATTGGTGTAAACTCTTCTCTGAATGCTTCCTTAAGAATTTGCATTAAATTCATCTGATCCTGGACTTTCGGTGTTAGGAATTTTAAAAAGACCTGATCTATTTTTTCTTGTTAAGGCAGCGGTTCTCAACCTGTGGATCGCAACCCATTTGGGAGTCGAACGACCCTTTCACAGGGATTGCCTAAGACCATCAGAAAACACATTTCCAATGGCCTTAGGCACCAAGACAACGATCTATCTCTCTCCAGGTAGGTCTGCCCACATACTGTTACCCATGTTACACCATGCTTCAAGACAAAATTTCATTTGTATTTAGAAATAAATATTTCACAATATATAATTACATATTGTTTTGTGATTAATCACTATGCTTTATGTTCAATTTGTAACAATGAAAATACATCCTACATATCATGATTCATAACAGTAGCAAAATTAGTTATGAAGTAGCAATAAAAATAATTTTATAGGCCTGTCTGGATAGGACAGGCTGGATGAACAATCTGGAGGAGAAAACAACGGGACTGACAGTTCCGGGGGGACATGGGAGAGGGGGAGGA